GGAATTTAAATGAAAAAAGGCACCGTTTTAGGCCCTGTTCTGCAAAGCCCATTCTTCTCCCTCATTTGATATCTGGTGTTTGGTTTTCACTGTTAATAAGTAAAAGGAAAATTACCATGAAACAGACTGTGAAAGATTGCCATGGCAAAAATGTAGTTGAGAAGGCATTTGCATATTTAGGCTAGAATTTTTCAACTACTTAAATCCTACACAATGCCAAAGTGACACAGTTTTGCATTACCCGTTCTCTTACAGTTACAAAATCATATTTAATGACAGAAATAAGATATAGCCAGAGAAAGTAAAGGCAGTGACTTCCCAAGCCAATCAAGTCACAGCTGTGTGTCTGCTGGAATATACTGCTGCTTCTGCTGGTCTGCAGTGATGCGTTTCAAAAGGCACTCAGATATATCAGGGAGTTCTCTTGATGTTTAGGAAGAAGGAATCCAAGGTATTTTTGAAAAGACCACCTCAGTTTTCCAGTCTGGTTCTTTCTGCAGCCCTGTGGTGGTTCTGAGCCCAGTTTGAGGGATAGCGTACCATGGTGGATGGGAACTAAGAAACAGAGTGGGGGAATACTTCAGCTGGGTGCTGCTGACAGGCGTATTTTCTACTGTATATACCTAGTCTGAGGTACTGTTCAGGCAATCCTTTAATCAAATTAGTGATCACCAGTAGTCTAAAGAGAGATTGTTTTAAGTTCGATGTTTGCAGCTAGGTCACCTCTTGAGGAAAGAATCAGAGTTTCTTTAAATTTCCTGAGGAGGCACCAAAATAACTGGTTGGCTGAAGGTTTATTAGTCAACACTGCTTTAGCAAATGAATAGAGGAAATTCCAAAATTTGTTTTCTAACTTGGTATGTTAACATGGTGAAAATTAAACAGATAAAAGACTGGTGATCAGCAAAAGAAGTTCTCCCAGTACTTGATTTAGTTTGTCACTTCAGGAAACTGAATGTAAACCTATCAATATTTTTTTGAGTTGAGCTTCATAAATGGTAACTTACCTTAAATTAAGGTAGGTGTCTCGTTCTGTGGATATTGAGGTAAAACGTGATGCAAGGTGCCAGTTTAAGTTGACACAATAAACTGATTTAAATCTCTTTGATCCTCTGCAGGATGGCTGGCTGTGGTGAAATAGATCATTCGATCAACATGCTTCCCACAAACAGGAAGACAAATGAGTCGTGTGCTAATGCAGCACCTTCCCTGCCAGTCCCTGAATGTGCTATCTGTCTGCAAACATGTGTCCATCCTGTAAGTCTGCCTTGTAAACATGTTTTCTGCTATCTGTGTGTGAAGGGAGCTTCTTGGCTTGGGAAACGATGTGCACTCTGCCGGCAGGAGATTCCTGAGGATTTTCTTGACAAGCCAACCTTATTGTCACCTGAAGAACTCAAAGCAGCGAGCAGAGGCAATGGAGAATATGCTTGGTACTATGAAGGTAGAAATGGTTGGTGGCAGTATGATGAACGTACCAGCAGAGAGCTGGAAGATGCCTTTGCCAAGGGTAAAAAGAGCACTGAAATGCTCATTGCTGGTTTTTTATATGTAGCAGATCTTGAAAATATGGTACAGTATAGGAGAAATGAGCATGGACGTCGCAGAAAAATAAAACGGGACATAATAGATATACCAAAGAAGGGAGTGGCTGGGCTGAGGCTGGACTGTGACACTAACACTGTCAACCTGGCAAGAGAGAGCTCTGCTGATGGTGCAGACAGCACACTGACTCCAGGGGCTGCGGCTGTGCAGCCTCTAGCACCCATTTCTGTGAGGCCTCTGCCATCACTGGATGGTCAGCTGTTGAGTCCTTCAACGCCATCACCTGATACAAGCAATTCTCTAGAGAACTCTTTTGCCCACTTGCAAATAAATGGAGACAGTATGGCTGAAAGGAGTCATAGGGGAGAGGGAGAAGAAGACCACGAATCATCATCTTCTGGTAGGGTGCCAGTCCCTGACACCTCTGTTGAGGAGACCGAATCGGATGCCAGCAGCGATAGCGAAGATGTGTCTGCCCGCATTCAGGAACGCCCATCCTCTGTCCAGCAGAGACATTTGAATGCCAGTGCAAGCCAGTCAGGAGCAGATAGACCAGTGGCAGGGGGTGGGGTGGTAAACACAAGTGTAAGATCTAGAAGGCCAGATGGACAGTGCACAGTCACTGAAGTTTAAATCTAGAGCCATGCGAAAAAAAACTCGCTTGTAATTTTCTGTAAATTTTCTGTCCACATTGGCATCGCACTCAAACCTAGCAGTGTGTTTGGTGGGAGGGTGGGGTGAAGGGGAGAAACAGATTTGGCCTGTTTTAACTTAAGTCTCTTAACATGTCTCAGCTGGAAGATTCTTAACTGTAGGAAACTGGGTTGTCCTGTTAATGGTTTGAAAGCTACTTAGCAATGCCCAGTTTTCTTGAGAATGTCTTGTGTTTATTTTGTAGCATTTTCCCCTGGAGATACTCTATCCCTCTTTAGCCAATGTATATCTACTGTACAACTTGAATTGTCTTCATTACCTGACTGTTGCATTAAGTGTCTTAATACTTTCTGCATGGATTGATGTATGAAAAGAACACTAAAGAAATGTGGAATCAGGCAAGGTGTTGGGTGTGAAGCAGGATGCTTAATTTAATGTGAGAAAATAGATGTGAGTTTGGAGTTAAAATGTGTTTTTGCTAGACAAGAGCAATCATTTACCTTCTTTCAATGGAAATGTAAAAATGCTGTTAACTTGTGTTGCAAATCCTACACGCTCTCCATGGCTTTTTCACTGGCTTTGCCATCTAGTCCTTGTAGTTTTGTTTTTGAGGTCTTTCTTGATCTGTCTTGTTTTTGTTACAGAATTTATAATTTAATAAAACTACATTTTATCAGTAACAATCTCTAATATGTTTCCAGTTTAACTGAACTTCACTGGAGGAATTTGAAAGAAAATTATCATAAAACAACTTCCTGGTTTTGCCAGAAGAGAGGACTGGCTCTGAGTGGCACCCTGAAGTTCTTGCATCCCTGACTGGCTTTTTCTCAAACACAATGCTGTAGGAGTATGATCTTTTCTACTGAAAAAATCATGAGTTGCAGGCTTATTGCTCACACAGACAACACTCATTTCTCATCTGAAGAGCTGATTAACTCACTTCGTTGTTCATGGTGGGCAGAAGTATTGAAATGAAAGAGCATAAGTTATCAAAGTTGACCCTGTAACAAAGGACATGGATATTAAGGACTGTATTGGTGTTTATCTGTTCATAGCAAAACTAGTGGCAGCACAGAAGGGGTAGTTTGTGCATGTACTAGCAATCTAGGAGCTGCATTTCTACAAATGGACTTCTGTGTATCACAGAATGTTAGAAGCCAGATCTTGAAAAGCACAGCTTGTCTTTTCTGTCTGTGGCAGTTGTTTTACATTTTTTCCAAATTGAGAAACAGCATTAGTTGATTCTGGATTCAACCTTTATAATCAAGCTAATTAAACTCCAATTCTTAGTGTATGTGTCCCTGAACAGAAAGGGACAGTACCTGATAGGTAGCTACTACAGATCTTAAAACAAAAGTTGCTTTAGACAAACAACCATTTGAGTGGAATTAAAAGGGATGATTTTTAAAGATGCTAGACTTAAACTTCTAAAATGTTCTCCTTCCCATAATGATGGCTGACGTGTCTAATCTTGGACAAAGTTGTGCCAGCCCTCTAGTTTGTTTCCTCTGCCTACAGGTGAGATCAGTGGGCCAGGAAAGTGCAGAGGAGATGAGGATGAAATAAGGAAGATTTCCTTCTTTCTCAGCTAGGAATAGATGCTCTTGATCACAGATTTTTACCATCATCTTCCAGTTCACAAGAAAATAAGCCAGTAACGTGGACTTCAGAAGGAAACAGGATGGAGTCTTTTTTTCTCTATTTGTTAGTTGCTAGCTGTTTTATTTCTCTGTTTTGAGTTAGCACACAGTGGCTCTAATCAAAATCTGACTTTGTGCCGCAAAGGCCTTCAGTAAGAACACTTCTGCTATGTGCACACATTTTACTTTATGTGAGGGATATGTGTTGAAGAAAGCAAGGAGCTAAATACAAGAACTTGACTCACTATATACTTAATTTCAGGATTTTCAGCCCAAACAGTCTACAAATAATTTCATCAGTGATTATCCTTGGGTTTTTTGACCAAAGCAAAGAGGCAGACCTCTGTTTAGCCCCCCACCCATGATGCTGCTTTTGGCTCCTGCTGGCTGACTGCAGCTGTGAAGTACTAAAATAAAGTATGGCTAGTGAGAGATTAATAGCCAGTCATCAGAGTGGTAAATGCACTCCCCAGATCAAGCTAGGAAAAAGTAGTAACTGGTAATTCCCATCTTATATTTAAACCATTACCTTCAGTAGGAGACATGTTCTCTGTCTATTTTTGCAAAGCCACAGCCACATTGCATTTTGTGGTTTTCTGTAATCCTATGCATTAAGTGATTTTCAACTTGTACAGCACAGCCAGAGAAATGCACAGTGGAGCAGAAGGAAAAAGGAAATTTAAATACTATGTAATCTACAGCAGGTTTTCATTTCCAGGAGAACAGATAACTAGATACAGGAATCCTATGTCATGGTTAAAAAAAAATCATATTGGACCAAGCATTCTGCAAGAACACCTTGCTTATCTAGATTGACCACTTGCTTAGTATATTTCTATCAGCAGCAAATAAGATAGAAGTATTTATATTGCTAAAGGTGATCTCCAGCACCCAACCCTTAAATGCTTGGTGCAGAATCCACACCCCCATTAAGCCCTCAGCGTGATCCACTACACAGAGGAAAGAACAAGATGGGCATTTCACAGTGTAATAGAAAACTTAGTTTGCTGAGGAGGGAGCTGGCAAACTAGTCCCTAGGAAGTACAAAAGCTAGCATGCTATTTAATTAGGAGACTGGGACTATCAATTTTGATGTTTCTAATTTATTTTGTGCATTTAGAGCTTGTTTGGTTTTAAGCAATTTCAGAAGGGGAAAAAATCTGAGAGGAAGCTCCGTAGTCTTTTAATAAAGAAAATACAAATGCTTATCAGCTGCTGGTTACAGGTATTTGTCACTTTAAGATGATAAGCAAGTATTCTATGAAATAAAGCATTTAGCTTTCAAAGGGGGAAAACAGGATTCCATTTCATCTCCATCTGGAGCTCTCATCCTAGCACTCATGGTAGTTTACTTGGGCTGGTTTTCACGTGAAGGGCTCTAAAATACCTTTTCAAATAGAAAATAGACCAGAGAATATGGTATTAGAGTACTCACAAAATCCTTGATCAAGACCTGTAATTATCTTCAGAATGTCCCGTACCTATGTTTGGTATATTTATGATATCAACAAAATGAGTTTCCATAACCCTTTCTGTCTGAGTGTGTCTTGCTCTGTACTAGTTAAATATTTGTCCTGTTTTCTTAGAAGCAAATGTTGACCTTTGATACAAGTCAGAGAGGGTGGCTGGGGAAATGCATTTGCTGAAATGAGAAATAAGCTCATTGTCTACAAATCAAAATGGAAAGAGATCCCCAATAGGTGTACATACTGAGTTTCACTTACTGGCAGCACAGATCTGATTCAAAGTGTGAAGGAAACCAAATTCTGCTTTTTTGCTACAATTTCCTCCTTTTCACATTTGTATTACCCAGTACACAATACATTTATGAGCCTAATGTACTAAAGAAAAAAAAAATCAAGAGTCTTGCTCAGGTTCTAAGCAATTTTCACACCCATTAAAAAAATGTCATTAGGGTATCAGTATTTGCAAATCTGTTCTTGCTACTAGCAAAGACATAACCAGTTGCCCTTTAAAGCACATTTATTTTGACTCACATCAACGTGATGTGCTATTGCTACAAAAAGCTGGATGAGTATGGACTGGAGCATGCTTTGAAGGTTCAGTGATGCTGGCAGTCTGGAGTCTCTCATGAGTCTTGAGGAACTCCATGAAAAGCAGAACAGTTTCATTTCTAAACAGTCAAGTGCAGCCGGACTATATTAAAACATTCATACCTGTGAAGTAATGGGTTTGAAGTCCTTTAAGGCACAGGAAAGAATCCAGCTACACAGGGGACTAACAACTGAGCTATTGAATAAAAAGGGGCAGGGGGAGAAAGAGGCACAAACCAGAACACTGTCTCCCCATGTTCTCATTCCTGTCTCTTCTCTGACCTGAAAGTAAAAATTGAACTTTGTTTTTGGGGAAGAGACATTTGAAATCATTCTCCATCAGTGCTTCAGATATTAAGGCAAAGATGCAGGATCTACAGGGTGGAGGCAAGTTCCTTATCTTCCCTGAGGTGCCATCTCAAAACACATCCCTTTCTTCAGCATTTCTCTTCATTGCTTCGGGCTCCTTGCTGTGAAAACCATATAGTGAAACATCCCTAGCAGATCACAGCATCTGCTCAAAACCTGCAGAATCTTAACAGGCAATCCAAGCCAAATTCCCATCACTGATTTGTCCCCAAATCCTCAAACATGTAGTTACCTCACTGTCTAAAACTCAGGAATCGTGCCACACTGTGGAAATTGTAACATGGATTTCCATCCACGAAATTGCCTTTCCTAGGGGAGCTTGTTCCATCATCTGGAGCTAGTTATGCCTGGTCAGGCCAAACACAGAGCCCAAACTTTCCTCGTTAACATGCTCCCACGGAGTACTTGGGTTCTGGGCTCAGATCTCAGTCTCTGCTGGATTTAGAGCCAAGAGTATCCTAACCAACAGTACATGAAACTCTCAGTCATAGATATGTCTGTATGGTTTTGCTCTCATAGATGTTTAATTTTAAGAATCATCTGCCAAAGCAGGGACTCTGTCAGTTTCTATTTTCTAAAGATAAAACCTTCCCCAATGAGTTATCTAATTACTTGAATAGTCACTGGCATGAAGTGGAAACCCAGTTCCAAATCTTCTGATCAGCCCAAATATGCCCTACCAGAAAAAATGCTCTAAAGAAAGATATAGACATATCCACACACAAGTCTTATCAGGATGCTGAAGTACTCTGACACCCAGTCAGTTAAGGACATCCCATTTGGGAGTATGATTCATCATGTCCTTCCAAGATTTCAACTAGATTCTATGTAAAGAACCAGGTCAGCAGCTTTGCACAGGTCCAGGATATGGGCATGTGCAGATGCATGTGTAGGTAGTTGATTCCTTGAGCAGTGAGAATACTCCTAAATGGATTTAAAAACCTGAATCAGTGTCAGTGAATGAGGGCTAGAAGGTCTCAGTAAGTTAAAGCTTCTTCTGTAAAAACACCATTAAAATTGAAGTATCCTTGGATAGTGAAGAACTGAGTAGAGATGAAAAAATAAAAACTATCCTCTCACTGGTTATTATCCTTTCCAAGCTGCTTAAAGACACTGGTCTCATGCTGGGGAACTCATATTTTGCAACTTTAGATGCACCTGTTCCGCAAATAAATAAACATTATAACTTTCAAGTAATTACTTTCCATAGCAGTTACAAAAAATTAGCTCCAAAGAAAATAATCTTCAGCTTCATTCCAAAAGAATTATAGTTCTATTCTCAGCACAATATTTACCTTTACATACTAATTTCACTAATCTCCATTCAGTGGGTGATTAGGACAGTAAAGAATCTGCCAGGGATTTCTCTGTGGTTGCACACCAAATATGACTGAAGTGAATGGCAGGAATGTTAATGCCAGTTTTAAATGGGCAAGTCCTTAAATGATGCAAGTTCAATGCCTGCTTTAGTGAAAGCTTTGTTTGCAAAAAGGTCAAGAACATTTCTTATACACTGACCATTATTTATGTTTTGGTCTTCTAACCAATGCCTGTAAATTGGCAGGCCCACCCCATACAGTTCCGAAAATGTCCTTTTCTGTCCTTAGGGCATCTTCCAGTGGGAGCTCTCTTCCTGCTGTCACCACCTTTTTCATAGCCCGTATCACACTGACTGGACCCTCTGTGTACTGACTCAGCCAGGCTCGGGCTTCTTCTAAGGCCCTGGTTTCATCTGAAGATGACAGGGTCTGCTCTGAGAATCCCAGGCGCAAAGCTTTCTCGGGGTCCACCCGGGCAGTCCCGCTCAGCAGCTGCAGGGCTGCCCCACTGCCCACGATCCGCACCAGCCGGGCAGCTCCTCCCCAGCCTGGCACCAGACCCATGTGCTTGTGGACAAACCGAATTTCACTTCCAGGTGTCATCAACCTGCCAATGAAGAACAAATACACAGGGGTCAATCCATGCATTGACATTCGTTTGCAGCTCGACAGCACTTAACTTTCTATTTTCTCCTCTCCTCTGCTTCCAAAGGCTGATACAACTTGACAGCCTGCCGATTACAGCCAGAGCTGGAGTATCTTCATTTTTACATCACATAGTGCCTTAACTGCAGCATTTGGCCCTTCTCAGAATTAGATACATAGGCTACTACAAGTAAAGGTGCTTAGTGCCCACACTGATACCTGTAGTCAGTTCTAAGAAGTGTTGAAAACAGAACTGCAGACATTTATATACAGTGCCAAAACTCCTTGCTAATTCATGCCTAAAACAACAGGGTATTGGGTAAAAACTAATCAAACTAATGTACAAAACATTTCTCAAGAGGATGAATTGTGATCTTAATACTGATGTGCATTGGGGAGGGGTCTGTCTGCAACCTGGTGCTTGATTACAGCACAGGTGGGACTTTTTTGTTCCATATTTTTGAGGATCAATGTGAGTTTGATTTCTAACTGCTCACTACACCAAGGGAAATCGGGATGGATGCTCATCTTATGGGTCACAATTTATAATAGAATTGCTTTCTATTTATGCTTGCAATGTGTAATTAAATTGCTCCCCTCTACAAAGTAAGTCACATTCTTCCTTTCAAAGATTTCACATCTTTGCTTCTTTTCTACAGCTTCTCACCTCCTTTACTTAAGAACTCACCCTAGGGCTGATTAAGCTATAACCCTGGAGGAGCTCTGCTGCAGCAGATTGTTCTGTCTTCACATAGTGGTCACACTGACACATGTTAGATTAGTGGAAAAAACCTCTAGAAATAGAAACATACAGAAAAGATGTACAGAAACAGACTAGTACTTGCTCTCTCTGGAGGTGATGTTCTGCAGTGTGATTGCTTGCTGATGTTGGTAAGACAAAGGACGGAAATCACACTTGTGAAGTCGATTAGCTTCTACTTCAAGCACTAATTGGCTTTCTGAAGACAAATCTTGTAATACTGAGATCTACACACAAGTCTGTTTCCTAACAATGCAGTTTTCCATAGTGAAAATACCAACAGGAATAGCTTTGAAAGGGTAAAGAAAAGGAAAACCTTTAAAAATGCAACTACTTCTAGGAACTCGCTGTTCTCAAATCTGCTTAGTTATTGTTAATTGTAAGTTTGCTTGGTTGCTTTTTTCTTAACCAGAGCACCATCAGCATTCATGCCACACTGTACAGCATCAGAACTGAAGAGCTTACGCTTTATCCCAGATGCAGCACAATGCACAAAGGCAACAGCTGACCAGCCAGATTGCATGAAAGCCTTTTTGTAGAGACAGCAGAGGAAGGTTGTGTGACAAAAGGAAGAGAGTAGAGTATTGCGGGGGGGGGTTGGGGGGAAGGCTTTTAGCTAACATTATCAAGTGCTTCCCAGCTAACCCAGCAAATCCCAGAGAGCTCGGGTCTCTCCTCTCCAAAAAGAAAATTCTGCAAGTATTCCAAAACTCCTTTACTGGCTCAGCTTACTCTTTAATTTGCTGACACCCAGTGTCCCACTGGGAAAACAATAGTGAAAACATTATTAAGAGTTTAATTCTAGCTGTGCTGAGTGATGCAAGGCATTAAAAAAGAAGTGGTCATAAGCAGCTGGGCATCTGATGCTAGACAACCTGTAGGCAGTCTCATGGGACAGCCACTGCAGGTCAGTGAGGCAATGTTGCGCTTATATGTTGAATCTGAGACTGTCCCAGACACCTGGGTTCAGGCCTTAAGGACAGGCAATTCTGTGAACATCCTGAGGGCAGTGTAAGGACTCATCTGGGGAGTCAGGTCAACGTCCTCTGAAGTTGGCATGGAAAATCAAATTTTACATTAGAAGCACAGCCAATCCATCAGCACCAATAAGGAAAGAGTTGAAAACATTTAGTATGTGGGAAAGGTTCTGTTGGCTGCAGAGTCTTTACTTCCCTCTAAGAAAATGGAACCAAACACAATGCAAGGAAAATAAATGACTGACAGCTTAATCTACAGAGAGACTGCAAGACAACAGCTTTTAGGATCGCGTTGGGATTCACCTCTCCCTACAATGTTCCTCTGAACATGCTCCACAGAAAATACTGAGATAAGCAGTTGTCAGTGGAAGGTGTAACTGTAGTCTTGGACTGCCTTCAGGCTTAAGAAAGGTATCTGTGGTTTTTCAGACTCTTCAACTACGAATCCTCTCCTGAAGTCACACCATTTCTTACAGAAACCACCCATCACACTCTCTGTTAGTATACTTAGTATACCACTCACTTTTTACCGCCACCACCTGCGTCTCCTAGAATGCTTCCATCAACACTGTACAATCCTAAACATCCACTGGTCAGATTATGTGACCAATACATCTGTTCTTGAACAAGCAGCAGTCACAAGTATTGAGGCCATGTCACTGAGAACACAGCTGCGTTGGGCAGGGCACGTCTCCAGGATGAAGGACCACCGCCTCCCTAAGATCTGCTTTATGGTGAACTTGCCACTGGCTGCCGCAAGAGAGGAGCCCTGAAGAAAAGATACAAGGACTCCCTGAAACAACATCTCAGCCTTGGCCATATTGATCAACATAACTGGTCTACTCTGGCCTCCAGTCGACAGGCCTGGAGACACACCATCTATAACACAGCTGCTTCTTTTGAGAACGCATGCAGGATCACTTACGAGGAGAAAAGATAACGCAGAAAGAATCATGTCTTGCCGATACCATCCAAGGAGTCTTTCTGCTGTGCCTTTTGCAACCAAACTTGTCTATCTCGCATTGGCCTCTTTAGCCACCAGCGCGCTTGTAGCAAATGTGGGTAGAGTCCTTCCCAAATCTTCATTCGCAAAGCCCAGCCATGATCCACTCACTTCCAGTCCCCACGCCCAAGGAAGCAGTGGAGACCTGAGCTCATGTCTGAAGAGGTGTATGCAGTTGCCAAGCCAGCCTGGGATCAGCCTCTGAACATCACCAGCTGCAGCCTCGCATAAATATTTCCCTTTTTACTGTATGAGAGGAATTGAATCTACCTTCTGAGACATGACAGATCTGATCTCCCATTAAAAGAATTTATGTAAGAAAAACACATCAAGCATTACTAAACATAAAGAGGCAGACATCAAAAAGCTGGAAAGACCAAAGTGCTATTCCTGAGCTGTTTATACCTTATTCACCTATTATTGGCCCTGCTTGAGACAGAACAGTAGATGAAAACAAAATTAACCCTGAATTGACTCAGTATATCTGTTCTTGTCTTCCAGGTCAAAGGAATTAAAATCTGTGTCTCCTGTATTACAGGGGAAGGTCATATTGCTAGACTCCTGGACACGTCTTCGTTGCCCTAATAAAGAAAATCTGTTGCATGACAGTACTGAAAAAATATCTATTCAATGTAATTAATGTCAAAGTGACTGAAGGCCTTACAAGCACATCCTCCAGAAATGTGATGGGTAGCAAAATTCTCACAACTTAATTTGGAAAAAAGAGGTTAAGGTAACATAAGCACCAAAGTGCAGCTAAAACCTTCTTTTAGAACATTTTATTCCATGTTACAAGCACTATAACCCCCCTAGGAAGAAAGCACAGCCACCATGGGCCACATCCAATTTTGTGTTAGTCATCTAAAGCAAATGAGCTACAGCAAATGTTCCTCCTGTACATTTTAAAATGTTCTCAGCTGCACTAAATGTTATAAATCCTCCCCCTTTGATCTGAGGATTCCTTCATTCTGTGACATCTCATTGTACCCACAAACTACCAACTGTCATGCCACATCTCATCACATCACTGACAACGTGCGAGAAGAAAACCTTGTCATTAACAAGGCAACCTAACAAATCCCATCCTTATAAAGGTACACTTGCTTCTCCAAAGGCAGTGCTTGCTGTGACCTAACAGCTGTGCTTTCCTTTGCCTTTTATAAACACTCATGTTACTGAGCTGTTCCAATAGGTATAATCAGTTCCTTGGGCAGAATTAAGATTATATTAATACCTGTGCTGGCCCTTACCTTATCATTTCCTGGACTTTGAGGTTTGAGTTATATTCTTTCTGACAAGGCAAAGGCACTAATCAAGTTTACTAAGGAGGGACAAATACCACCCTCTATTTTAGGCATTTTAAAAGCTCCTACAACTATGCTGTTGAAACCCACGATAGAAAAAAAGATGCCTAAAACATTAATGTGCTGTCAGCAACCTGGATTTTGTTCCCATTCCCTCTTTGACTCCCAGTGTCACATAAGGACACAGCTCCTGACTTCCGATCTCCTTTTAGCTGGCATGAGACTGGCACACCACAGAGGGAGGCAGCTGGCATCGTGCAGTGCTGCAGCACCTGGTTCTCAGCTATGGTTATACTGAGAGAGGGCAGCCAGAACTTCAGGAGATGACTTTTATCTTCCCCCCAAATACTTTGGCATCCTGCTCTCAAAACACCCATCAATATAAATAATAAACAGAGCGTATGTGTTCCGGTCACAGTAAGTTCCCTCACCAAATCTGCTACCTTCTTCTATAAATTTCAGTAACACCTACCTACAATATGATTGAACCAACACAAAGTGCAAAATTCTCCAAAAACGAGAGTCAAAGGCCTTGAGATACAATTAAAAGACATCCATAATTTTAGCATGCTGTAGACAAGAGTTATAGAAATAATAAGAAATCTTCAAGTAGAACTAGATATTTTATAAAATATAGATACAGAACACGTGGACACAGGAAGACCAATGTCTATGGTCAATCACACACTTATTTTGGCTCTTATTACTCAGTGAAGACAGCAAGAATACAGTATTGATATCAAAAGCTTTTAACCAAGCATCCAGACCACACGTGGAACTATTTTAGGCACAGGAAAAGAGAGATATTGCAAAAAAAGAAAACCACCAAAAAAATGGTAACAGAAAGAAGATTATCAAAAGTCAAACGCTTCCTTTAAACAGGAAAGAACAGAACAGCAAAGCTGATGTGCAATGCCA